AGCGATTAGGGAGGCCGCCGTGAGTCGGTAGGCCTCGCTGGGGCGCAGGTATGTGTCGAACGCAATCCTCACGAGGGCCGCCTGCGACAGAAGGCCCTGAGACCCCAGCACGCCCACGATGGCGAACCTCGCGACCCTCGGCAGCGGGAGCCGCATCTGCGGCGGCACGAGCTTCGTCCAGCCCTGGAGGGCCCGCAGGGCCCGTGGCAGCGGGCGGCTCCCGATCAGCATCGACGGCAACTGGTGCTTCAGAGAGGCCATCGTGACGCGGCCCGTCGCACTGTCGTACCCGTCGAGGAACAGGTGGGCGAAGGGCACCACGAGTATCGCGACGAGCTCGACGCTGTTCGTGAAGTCCCTGGCGGTCCAGAGGCACCAGTTCAGAAACCTGAGGGCGGAGGCGCGGTAGTTCCTGCCCGTCGACTCCGAGACCGCGTGGGCCTCCAGCACCGACAGTCCGCCCCGCAGGAGTGTCAGCGGATCAGGATGTTCCCGCTGGCCCCGCGCCGCCTTGATCACCTCCCTGTGGGATCCGCGGGCGGCGCGAGACGAGGTACGACCCGACGTCCTCGAAGCTAGGGCCGACGAAGAAGCCCTCCCTCGACGGCTTGTCCGCGACGTTCCTCTCTGACGGGACCCACCGCACGAGCAGGCGCAGGCCGCAGGCGAGGGCCACGCCAGCGATGCGCCGCAGGGCGCGGAGAAGATGACGGCTCCCAGACCGCCCCTTGCCGACCGAAAGGGCTAGAGCCAAATTGTCCACAATACAGACGACGCGATGATGATGGGCACCCAGGGCCCTCGAAGCGTGATGGGCGCTGAACCCCAGGGCCTCCGCCTCGCACTGAAGGATATCGCAGCCCCGTCGGGCGTGACGGCTAGAGTGAATGGTCTTCCAACCTCGGCCCCGTAGATGGACTCAGGAACCTCGTAGAACCCACTGAGCCCAGACGACGAAGCAGTAGGAGCAGTAGACGATGTGTCGGCACGGCAACCGTCGGCAGCCTCGTCTCGACCGTCGACGTCTAGGGCGTGTGATCTGGCAAGCACAGCATCCCCATGACGATACCTCCAACGTTCGGCGACTCGGCCGACCTCGGACGACAGCGTAGGGGAGACCTCCTTGACACAGACACCCTTCCCGAACGGCGACGCATCAGAAGCATACACCCGTGGATACCAGCGAGACCTTGTAGAGGCACTCCAGAGCGGGATGAGGGCCACGGCAGCCGACAACTCCCTGACGACCGAGGGCCACAAGGGTCCAGGATGGGGTCCCACAGCCCCCATGAACCGATAGACCGCGTTAAAGATGCTCAGAACGTCGCGCCTCAGGATCATCCCCCAGGCACAGTGGCCTACGAGCACGCTGAGGGCCCCAGCAGAGGCCCGCCCACGCTTCAACAGTCCGAGAACGGCTTGACGAGTGCGAGCGAGGCAGCCAGGACGAACGCGAATGATCCCAGAGGTTCCGTCGATCTCCAAGCCCGTGAAGACCCCCTTACTGACCGCAGGGGAGAACTCCAAGACAGGCAACCCGCGGGCAGTGAGAAGGTCAGCAACGGCACGAGCAAGGGACGTGGCTGTCCCCGCGCACTTGGATACGACACAGAAGTTGTCAACATAACCAGCACACACCGCGTCCTTCTCAGCCACCAAGGGACGAGGACAGCCCCCATCCAGAATCATATCGTCACTGCCGAACCCGACATCCGACAGGGCTCTCGTCAACGCACTCTGGCACAGGTGTAGAGCCCAACTCCACCCCATGGGAACGACCGTGACAAGAGGCTGGACATAGTCGTTGATGCCAAGACGAACCCCGTTGACCGACTTGAGGCCGAGGAATATGTTGTTTATCGGTGGCAAAGAGAACAGAGACTCCATGCCAGCTGGCAGTCGCAAATGATAGAAAGCACACTGAATGTCGCCCTGCGCGAACTGAAAACTGTCGTCGCAGTCAAGGCTGGCCCACGCGCTGGGCGTGGGCAGGCGAGTGGCTGGCGGGCACGAGAAGCTGCAGTTGGCCAGCCTGGTGTCGAACACCAGCCTCAGCTTGCCGTTAGCTTTCAGCACAAAGAAAAGACCAGTAGAGAAGGGTGCCTGCTCGCTGGAGACCCGCCAGGTGATCATGTCGTGGGCCTCCAGCTGCTTCAAAAACTCAGCGTAGGACTTCGGCTTAAAGCGCAGCTCAGGATCCACATAATGGCGATTAACCCCCAACGATTCACGGAGCTGCGCCGCCACCGACTCGGGATTCAGCATACTCTGCCTCCAATCCTGCAGCACGATGGAGTCGGCCTCGGAGACGACGCCGCAGGTCGAGACTGCCTTCGTCGACTCGGGCCAGGCCACAAGTGGCATGCTGAAGGGGCGCACGCGACCGCTGCCGCCAGCGTAGCCAGGTGCCTGCGCGAGCATCTCTACGAGGGATGCTTCGCAATCGCGGCCTCTCTCCGAGTAGGCGGCGGGCAGTTCGAAGTCGCGGTACAGGCCCGCGATGTAGTCCACTGAGGCTGCCTGGGCCGCAGGCGGTGGCCCCCCGTCGTCAGGCACGGAGGGCTCGTCCTTGCCGCAGTGGAGCCAGTTGAGAGCAGCCAACCCCTCGTTGCACCACTCTCTCCAGCTCGCGCCTTTGGCGGCCCGCAGACGAGCACCCCGACCAAGCGGGAGATGGCGACGCCCATCCACTGGAAGAAGAGGAAGCGGAAAAACGTCACGCTGGCGACGGTCACCTCGTCTGGGCGACTCCAAGCCAGGTGGAGCCTCGAAGGGCTCGGGGCCAAGCTGGCCAGGCTCACGAACAGGTAGCACGTCGCAAGGCCCCTCCTGGCCAGCGTCCTTCAGGAACGTCATGGATGCCGCAAGGCCCGCTCCTCGCGAGCCTTGCGACGTTCTTTTGCAACAGCGGCCTCACTCTTCATCTGGTCGGCGATCCAGTCCATCAAGGCTGGGCAAATGCACAAGTTGCCCATCGTCTCTCCCGCGCCGAGGAAGTGGCCAATCTCCGAGGAGACGTCGGCGGCCGCGGACGTGGCGCCGTCCTTGGCCTGGCCCTTGGCCCTGGGCGCAGGCTGAGTCCTGCGCGCGCGCTCCTCGAAGAAACGCTCCTCCACCAACTGCAGCTGCCGCGACAGGAACTCGTAGGAGGCCAGCTCGCAGATGATCAGCTGGTCGTGGCAGAGCGAGGTCTCGATGACGCGGCGCAGCGTCTCGTGGAGCTTGGCGGCGTCGTCCGTCTCCAGGGCCTGCATCATGGCCATCCAGCGGTTGTGCCACGCCATCGCCCCGCCAGCCATGCGCAGCATGAAGTGGAGCACCCGCGTCGTGGTCCTTGGGCCCCTCACGGGCCAGTCGGCAAGGGCGGTCTCGGTCTGGCGCTTCACGGCGTCACTGAAGGGCATGTCCCGCAGCCCACGAGCGTCGAGCACGGTGGCCATCACGCGGGGATCAGGTCCCGCGACGCCTGGGGCGGCGGGGGCCGCGGCGGCGCCGCCGACGCCCAAAGGGTCCGCGGCAGCAGGCAGGGCGGCCCCCCCCGCACCGAGCGCCGCCGCCAGCGCGCCCACCCCGCCCTCGGGCGCCGCGGCCACCGCGGCGGGCGGCCCAGGGGCGCCCGCGGGGGGCGCGGCCGCGCTCGCCAAGGCCAGCGCGCCAGGCGCTGCGGCAGCGGGCGCCGCTCCGAGCGGGTCGGGCACGGCCGGCGCCCCCGCCGCCACGCCCAGCACGTTGTCGGCACTGAGCTCGAGGTTGAAGGGCGACGGCGGCAGAGGTCCGTGGCCTTGAGCGACGCCGCGGCGCACAGCAGCTATGGGCGGCGACTCCGACGATCGCGTCGCCCTGGCCCGCCGAGTCACGCACTGATCTCAAGTCGCCACCAGCCAAGTCGCTCTCCGCGTAGTCGTCATCGTCGGGGGCGAGGATGTACCCTGGCAGCAAAGTGAGCCTCTCGTGGTAGATGGCGGGCCCCCCGACGTTGTACCGTGCGTAGTGGAACTGGCCAGAGGTGCGTGCAGCCATTGCTCCTAGCTGCGGAACTTCCTCGCCTGGGCAGCGGCCGCCGTCGCAAGGTCGAGAGTGTCCACCGTCTCGTGCAGAGGTGCTGGAGCGGGTGCAGGCTGAACCACGGGGGCCGTCCGAGAGCTCTTGGTGAAGAAGCCACCTACGACGATGCCGTATGCGAAGGAGCTCACCACGAGCACGACCACGAACTCAGTTGACCAGCCTGTGGGCTGCACAGACGCCAGGGAGCCCTCGCCTGTCGGGCAGCGGCACTCCAACGCAGGGCAGTGCAGCGCTGGAGAGCAGACGCAATCTGGGCAGGGCGTCGAGCTGCCGCGAACTATGACGGCGGTGGTGAGGGCACTGGTGAGGTCGGCGCAGACCCGCTCCAAGAATGCTTGCATTCCTTTAGAACTTGAGCGAGGGAATACGGCCGCGGAGTTGCCACAAATGCCGACAAGTCGCTGTAGGATGGTGATGATGATGATGATGCTGATGATGATGCTGATGATGATGATGATGATTATTATTCTTCTTTTTCCTCGACGTCAGGGCCAATATCTGATATCAAAGTATGGTATACATTGAAATCAGACTTGAAAGATCCGTCGCAGAGAGCCGACTGTCTCGCGTTGCCCCGCCTGGGCCAGACTGCCAGGGTGCTGCTCGGAGGGGCCTCCTGCGCAGCGCGTGCCTAGCAGCGTCGAAATTCTAGCTGAGAAATATTGGCCGCTTCGTCTTCGGCAGTTGAGCTCAGGTGGGGCGGGGCCTCCACCTCACGCAGCTCCTCTGCGCGCGCCGGCACGGCACGGGGGGGGGGGAGGCGCGACGGAGGAGGGCGGGATGTGACCGCGACCGTGCTGCTGCTGGCAGGGAGGCTTTAGCCTCGAACAAAAATTGACACGGCGTGGACTCGCCTCCTCTGCGCTGTCGCCTGCGCTGTGGCGCGCAAACTCGCTCTGGAAGGGAGACAGGCTCGCTCTGGCAAAAAGACGGGTTCACTGCTCGAGCGTCTCTAGCCAGTGGCCTACCTCCTCCTCGGGCCAGCCCACTGGGGCCACGCCTCGGTGGTGGACCGCCTGGCCCTCCCACATGGGCGCGCCGATCACCAGCTTCTGCTTGGTGTCGTCGTAGCGGTGCCCGAGCCCTTCGAGCCCTGGGAGGGGCCCAGCGGGAGTCGCCACGACGCTCTCCGCTTGGGCGTCGTCCCCCTGTCCAGGGAGAGTAGGCGCAGAGGAAACATTAGCCGCTCGGATCGCCCGCGCGGGCGCTACATATACTGCTGCTGGGCGCTGTGCTGCTTGTAGCCGTCGAAGTGGTCGATGTCTAGGTCTGCTGCGTAGGTCGCTGCCCGCGATGCGTTCCACCGGCTGGCGGTTGGACGCGCTTACATCAGGGGCGTCCTCGATGGCGGGCGCGGGGCGGCGTCTGGGTGGCGCAGGGCGCGGCGGGGGGGGCACTTAGGGTGGCCGAGCGCGTGGTGATACGTTTCTGGCACGACCCGATGTTGCACTCGAAGGTGGGGCATGTCTCGTCGTCGGTGTCCGCCCCGTCGCGCGTTGCCGCCGAGAGGAGGGGAGAGGCGCTCACGCTGGCCTCGGGGGGAGCCCACTGATCCATCTTGACAACTCGGACGGCCTCCTTGCGTTTGCTGGTCTCGGCGTAGGCGCCGTTGAGAAAAGACGCACGGTGGGCGCCCGTCTGGAGAGCAAGTAGGCCATAGTCCCAGCGGATGTTGTTGTTCGTGATGTTGGCGCCGCTGACAGGCATCTTGATCTGCATAATCATGGGGATGTGGTCGGCAACACTTAGTAGGCTACTTAGCTTGGTGTGGATCTTCCAATTCAGCTTCACGTGCTTCACGATTTCCATGAAATTGTCGTGGCCAATGTAGTAGTTGATGCTTGATCTGGCTTTGTTGTGCCCGTAGTAGGTATTGCCGACGTCGATGTACATGTTGATGGCTGTCAGCTGGTGCGTCAGGAACTTGTCGTGAATCAAGCGTCCGAGCCCGGTCTCGTCGCTGGGTTGGTAGCTGCCGATTGCGTTGTCAGTGCGGCGCTGTCGTGATCGTCGTCCTGGCCCTTGGTTGCGGTCCGTGAACAGGCTGGGCATGACGCGAATAGGGATGTCGGTATGTGCCTGCGGTACCCAGCTCCATGGTCGGCGGCATCCTGCTTTCCAGTGAAGGTAATGACCTGCTCCGTTCGGCCGCGGTGGGGAATGTGCAGCAGTGAATCGAGTGCGGAGCTGGCCTCGATGAAGCTCGACGGCGCCCGCGCCCCGTAGGTCTGATTGTGGGGGGTGCCGTGCCTTGTCGATGTCTATCTTGCGGCTTTGGCGCTTGGATACAGCGATGCTGCGACTTACTGAGCTGCTCGCGCGTGCCCCGCGACCCCATCCGAAACGGACCCATGCATGATAGCGGCGGTCCTCGAAATGATGCGGGGCGTCGGTAGTACACTGGCGGATCTTAATGCCTGCGCACATCATGATCTGATTTGCACGGTGTGTGTCGGAGATGTGGTCAAGATGCCCTGGGGCATCCAGTAGTCCTTCGCGAGCTGGGTGTGGAGGTAGTGGCCCAGATGGCAAGTCACGCTCGGCGTGCAATTGTTCCACTGGCAGTAATTCAGGAGCCGCGTGGTGTGATCCTGCATGTGCTGGCCCTCTGTGTTCTGCCTCGGTGTCCTCGGTCTCCGCTCGGTGCAGGTGGTTCCAAATGGCACCCTCCATGGAGCCGCCCACGTCACACTTGCACAGTTCTTCCAAGATCGCCAGCGCGAAGGGCGGCGCTGGCGACCCTATCTCCTGCAGGCGTCTCTTGTCCTCTGGGGTGTCGCTCTTCCTGAGGGGGGAGTCCAGGGTGTACTTGTAGCCTTCGACCTCCTGCGTGATGGCTATGATCCCTGAGAGCTCTTTCCTCATCGTGTAGGTGTCCGTATTGTTGCTGCCATTCAGCCTGGTCTTGCGCGTCGTCTGAAGCAGCATGTGGCAAGTCACGTTCAGCGTGCAATTGTTCCACTGGTGGCAATTCAGGGGCCGCGTGGTGTAGTTCTGCATGTGTTGGCCCTCTGAGTTCGCGAGGATGTTGAAATTGAAGCTCAGCGTCCAGTAGTTCGGGGTCAGCGTGTCGTAGCCCTGCCTGTGCTGGCCCTCTGTGTTCGTGAAGATGTTGAACTTGAAGCTCAGCGTCCAGTCCTGCACGTACTGGCCGTCTGTGTTCGTGAAGATGTTGAAATTGACGTTCAGCGTCCAGTCGTTCAGGGTCAGCGTGTTGTAATCCTGCATGTGCTGGCACTCTATGTTCGTGATGATGTTGGAGTTGATTTTCAGTGTCCAGTAGTCCTTCGCAATCTGGGTGGGGTAGTCCATGTGGCAAGTCACGTTCGGCGTGCCATTGTTCCACTTGTGGCAATTCATGGGCCGCGCGGTGTGCCTGTGCTGGCCCAGTGTGTTCGTGATGATGTTGAAGTTGAAGCTCAGCGTCCAGTAGTTCAGGGTCAGCGCAGCGAGTCCTGTGCTCAGCAGGTGCGCGGCGCCCGCGCTCCGGAGCACGGCCATGGCGGCCTGGCGGCGCGCGGGGCGTCGTCAAGCGGCCCCCTGCCTTTTGGGCAGGGCAGGAGGGCGGCGACTGGAGGCCGCTGCTCCATCAATGGCCTGAGCGCGCGGCGGCCTCATGATGATGATGATGACGATGGTGATGATGATGATTTCCTCGACGTCAGGACCAACGTCTGATGACAGGATATGGTGTGCAATGAAACCAGATTTAAAGTGATCCGTCGCAGAGAGCCGACAATCTCGCGTCGCCCCGCTTGGGCCAAACTGCCAGGGTGCTGCTCGGAGGGCCCTCCTGCGCAGCGCGCGCCAAGCAGCGTCGAAATGCTAGCTGAGATATTCGGCCGCTTCTTCTTCGGCGGCTGCATCATGCTCAGGCGGGGCCCCCGCCTCACACTGCCCCCCTGGATGTGCCGGCACGGCAGGGGGGGAGTGGAGGCGCGACGGAGGAGGGAGGGCATGCGGCCGGCCGTGACCGCGCCGCTGCTGGCAGGGAGGTCTTTGCCTCGAACGAAATTGACGCGGCGTTGAAACGCCTCCTCTCCGCTGTGGCCTGCATTATGGCCTGTAGGCTCGCTCCGGCAGAAAAAGACGGGCTCGCTGCTCGAGCGTCTCCAGCCTCCTCCTCGAGCCAGCCCACTGGGCCCACGTCTCGGCGGTGGGCCGCCTGGCCCTCGGCCTCGAGGGCGCGGCTGATCAGGATTTGGCCCTCCCACACGGGCGCGCCTAGCGCGCCGATCACCAGCTTCGCCTTTTCGTGGTCGTACCACTTTTCCAGGCGCGCGAAGTTGATGGCGTCGAGGATATCTTCCTTGCTGATCTCCGTCTCCGCCTCGATGTCCTCGATGGCACCCCTCATGGGGCCGCCCGCGTCGCCCTTGCACAGTCCTTCCAAGGCCGTCAGCGCGCGGGGCGGAGCTGGCGACCCTATCCCCTGCAGGCATTTCTTGTCCTCTGGGGGGCCGCTCTTCCTGAGGGAGTCCATAATGTGCTCGTAGCTTTCGTGCTCCTGCGCGATGGCATCTACATGCTTGCCATGCTCGTCGTAGATGTCTAACTGCATGGTCTCGATGTTCCGTTCGGCCTTCTTCGTAGCCCCGTGAATGCTCAGTGAGGCCAGGGTGTCCTGCTTACCGATGTTCTGTGCGTATTGAGTCCCTTTCTCTATGAGTCCTATCCTCGGATACAATCGCCATACATGGTCGAAACAGTGAAATAAACGTACGCATGCATGAATGTCCTGAATCACATTGCCAGTGGGGCTTTTTTTCTTTTTTTTGCCGATGTCGAAAATCTGGATGATGGCGGAGCTGACGTCGTGATCGATCTCGTCTTCCGTCGACTGGGGTGATAGACTCGCTCAGCGAGCGGGTCCGCGCATTGATAATCTGCCGTGTCATGTCCCATTCCTGCCCTGTGAACACCAGTGCGCATCAGGTGCTGTAGGGCGAGGAGCATGATGGTGAGTTCGATGGGCCTTAAAGAGAAGTAGGTGGGTCGTCGGACTGGAAACTGATGATCAGGGCGCTCGTCACCAGGGTCGCGTTCATGTCGACCTTGAAGTCCAGGTGGCAATTCAAGTCCAGCGTGCAGTTGTTCCACTCGTGGCGGTTCAGGTGCAGCGTGGTGTAGTCCTGCACGTACTGGCCCTCCGTGTTCGTGAAGACGTTGAAATTGAAGTTCATCGTCCAGTCGTCCAGAGTCAGCGCGTCGTACTCCTGCATGTGCTGGCCCTCTATGTCCGTGAAAAAGTTGGAATTGACGCTCAGCGTCCAGTAGTCCTTCGCGAGCTGGGTGTGTAGGTAGTGGTCCAGCGTCCAATACTTCGGGGTCAGCGTGTCGTAATCCTTCATGTGCTGGCCCTCTGTGTTCATGGAGATGTAGCTCAGCGTTCAGTCCCGCACGTACTGGCCCTCTGTGTTCGTGAAGATGTTGAAATTGACGTTCAGCGTCCAGTCGTTCAGGGTCCGCGTGTCGTAATCCTGCATGTGCTGGCCCCGTATGTTCGTGATGATGTTGGGATTGACGCTCAGCGTCCAGTAGTCCTTCGCAGTGTGGGTGTGGGGGTAGTAGTCCAAGTGGCAAGTCACGTTCAGCGTACAATTGTTCCACTGGTGGCAACTCATGGGCCGCATGGTGTGGTCCTGCCTGTGCTGGCCCTCTGTATTCGTGAGGATGTTGTTGTTGAAGCTCAGCGTCCAGTAGTTCAGGGTCAGCGTGTCGTAATACTTCAGCATCGGCATCGTCGTCTGGCTGGTGGTCAGGTGCTTGGGCCATGCGCTCGTCCATGTTCCTGATGTCAGCGAGCGAGTCCTATGCTCAGCAGGTGCGCGGCGCCCGCGCTCCGGAGCACGTCCATGGCGGCATGGCGGTGTGCGGGGTATCGTCAAGAGGCCCCCTGCCTTTCGGGCAGGGCGAGGGGGCGGTGACTGGAGGCCGCTGCTCCATCAATGGCCTGAGCGCGCGGCGGCCTGATGATGATGATGATGATGCTGATGATGATGATGATGATGATGATGATGATGCTGCTGCTGCTGCTGCTGCTGCTGCTGCTGCTGCTGCTGCTGCTGATGATGCTGACCATGACGACTCGGAGGGGGAGGAAGGGGAGGAGGAGGGAGGAGGGAGAGGAGGAGGGGGAGGAAAAGAAGGAGGAGGAGGCCTGGGGACCAGGAAGCGGATAGCTTGCCGCGGCGAAGTGCGGTGGACCAGAGCAGGCGGCGCGGCACGCTGAGCCAAAGGCCCCCGACCGTCGGGGAGCCTGCTAGGGGGGTCCTTTCGGGCACAACCCCCGTCCACCCGCGGCCCCCCCGCGCGAGCTCTGGAGGCCTCGGCGAAGGGCGGTGGTCGGTCGAAGGCTCCTGCAGGCCCTCGGGAGTCGACGACGCCGGAGGGTGTCGACGTCGCTCGAATACAATAGCTCCCCCTTGGCGGTTCCCCCGTGGTGTGCCCAAGTGTTGAGCCTGCGACATCGCTGTCATCACGGTTTCCTGAAGACGGAGGGGTTGGGGGTGCCAAAACCAGGGTTTCGACCGAAACATCCACACAACCTTGCAGCCAGCTGGCATGTGCAACATCCCCTGGCGGCTTTCCCGTTGGGGTGTTCAACTGCAACGCGTCCTACGATAAGGGCTCGACCACAAAAAACCTTCCGCAAGAATCCCAACCCTTTGACCCTGGGACATCCGTTGACTTGTGGTGTGGCAACGTCGCGCTTCCCGAAGCAAAACCATCAAAGCCCAAGAACCCAGGGCACCCTGGAGGCGAGCAGGGTGTTTCTTGGCATGGGTTTCCAGTGTCGACGAGCGCGTTCCACTACTCGCAAAGTAACTGCTCGCAAATGGCCTGGACCCGACGCAGGGGATCTGCGATTTTTTATCGTAGCAGCCATCTGTTTTTGTTCGGACGTCTGCGAGTAGGGACATCGCGAACCATAAAACGTGCTCGGTGATCAAAGGCCTCTGGCGGCCTTCGCGCAACCCTTCGGCGAAGGGCGGCCGGCGCCCGAAAGCCTCTGGAGGCCCTCGGGCGACCCTTCGACACGCCGTTCGGCAGTGGCCAGGCCAGCGGCGGGGCACACGCGCGCGCGCCGTCTTCGGGCCACTGTCGCCGCCGTCGACCATGCTGCTGTCGGTGCCGTCGCCGCCGCCGCCGCCGCCGTGGTCGAAGTCGCTGTCCTTGAAGACGAAGCCAGGACGAGGATAACATCGGGTGATGATACATCGAGAAACTCTGGGATCTGGAGGCTCTGGAGGATGTCTCGGGCGCCGCGGCCTTCTCAGAGCCTTCCAGAACGCTCTGACAGCGTTCCAGAACGCTTTGGGACGGATTCATCCGCATCCTAGCCCCGTCCGAAAACCCCCCTCCCTGGCGTGCGGAGCGCGCCAGGGGGGCCAAGCGCAGATCCAAGAAATCCGCGCGGGCTGTCGAAAGTTTCTTTTATGCAGATCATTCCTTCTTGGACAAGGAGGCGGTGGGAGAGGAAGGCTGGGGACCAGAGCAGGAGGCGCAGGAGGAGGGGAAAGGGGAGAGGATGCGGGCGACGTCGAAGGGGGGGGCGACAAGAAGAGGGAATGACGAGACTTCCAGGACGCTGTGGAACGGATTGACCCTCGTCCTGACCCCGTCCGGTCGTCGTCGCGCTCGCCGTCGGAGGAGGCGGCGCGGCGCGCCAGAACCATGCGCTCTGCAGCTCCTCCACGGCGCTGGCGTCGCCCGCGGCGTCTGCCCGCCTGTCGCCGCAGCGGCCCTCTGCGGCCCGCACGGTCTCCCGCCGAGGGGGGCGCCGAAGTGCTCTGGCGGCGGAGGCGAGCACGGCACCGTCTCGGTGCCGAGTACGGCGACGACGGGTGCGAAGAGGAGAGGCGGAGGAGACGTCGTCGATGATGGTCTGGCAGTCCCGAGGAAGGGGCCACTGAAGCCAGACAGGGCCAGATCGAGCCCGGGAGCCAGCCAGACCAAGCGGGATTTCGACGGATTCAGCTGGATTGGACCAGAGTCGGCCACTTCTCGACCAGGGATTTACCAGCGCCGATTCTGAATTCAACGGATCGGATTGGGCCCGTCGAAGATGCGCAGGGAAAAATGAGAGGGGGCGAGGATGGGCAGAATTGCCAAGCTCGCCACAGGTTTAAAAAGGGCACCCAGAAACATATTTAGGGAAGAGGCGACCATCGGCGAAACACTGAAGGCTGTGGGGCAGCTTGAGGAGCGCGCTGCCAGTAAACAGCAGTTGTCCGAGAACGGGCAACGTGCGTGGAGGTAGCACCAGTGAGACGAGCGAGGAGGAATAAGAGGAAGGCGGGAGGAATGAGGGGGGGAAGGCGGAGGGGGGGAGGCGGGGGGCGAGGAGGGGGGGGAGGGCGAGCAGGGGGGCGAGGAGGAGGAGGAGGAGGAGGAAGGCGAGGAGGAGGAGGAGGAGGAGGAGGAAGGCGGGGAGGGAGGAAGAGGAAAAGGAGGAAATATACAAGACCGTTTCCCCGGGAACCGGTTCCCCGGAACCGCTTCCCCGGAGCCGTTTCCCCGGAAGGCCACTTCCCCGAAGACCTATTCCCCACTTTGACCGTCGGGTGGGCGTAAGTGCGGTAAGAGCGTTGTACATCCGATGAAATCGTTTCAACGAAGATGTATGTAGGTTCATGCTAGTTGACCTCACATGTTCAATAGACATAAAATATCGAGCTTTAGCATTCATCTACTTAACGTTTTGTTAGATAAGTATATTCAACAAGGTACCATACATACTACTCACAGAACCATCCATCTTATTTACTCAGCTATCGGGTACCACTGCCAAGATATAACGATACATACTTCTCAACATATCCAACTTAGTAGCTAAGTCAGCCAAGTCGATGTGGGCTGTCCGATTCGGTCAACCTGGAATTCGCATAACCTTCTATAGTTTGTCATGCTTGTCCTTGATATTGCTATGTTTCGGGAAAAACAACAAAAAAACGTTTTAACAACTACAACGCGGCAGCTTTTCAGGACAAGGCGCCGCAGGTCGACGCGCCGAGCCGCCCTCAGGACGCCTGCGGGGCGCGGAGGGGAAGGGGGAAGAGGGAGAAGGGGGGGGATCAACTATTCTTCAAACTGCCTCCCCTCGGCGGCCATCACCGCCTCCCCTCTCCTCTCCTCGTTGTCGGCGGCCAGCCCGCCCCCGCTCCCTCCTGCCGCCTTCCCTCCCCGAGCCCGCCTTCCTTCTTCGGCGGCATATCCGCCCCTCCCTCCTGCACCTCTCTATCGAAGGGCGGCGCATCCGCCAGCGGCATATCCGCTCTCGCATGCGCTCGTTTTTTCCTTTTTCACGTGATGGCGAGCACATAGCCATCGTCCTGTAGTCGCCGATAAGCCGCCCAGGCTGGCGGGATCAGCTCGGCGGGCATCACGGCGACGTCGCCGCGCGGCCGCCACAGGGACGCGCCTGGGCATGGCGCGCGCACCCATTCCAGGGCCTCCACCAGCAGGTAGCTGGCGGCGCCAGCCTGCGCGCAGCAATGCACGATGCACGCCTCGCCGTCGCCCAAGAGAAAACCCTGAGGGCAGCAGCGCCTCGATTTTTGGGGGGCACACGCATGTGCACCCCTCAATGCCAAGGTTGGTTGCGCCGTCTGTCCTGGCTGCCGTGCATCTGGCCGTCGATCGACGCCTCTCTGCTGGTCCACGTTTCAGCCCTGCGGAGGGGTTCCTCCTCCCCCTCCTCCTCCTCCTGGCGGCAAGCCGCCTTGACGGCAAACCGCCTTCCCCTCTCCCAGCCCATCTTCAGGTTGTGCTTCCGCTCGAGCACGAAGGCGCCCAACCAGATGCCGTCCTCCGCAGGCTGGTCGGGGACGTGCCACAAATAATGGTGCTTCGGCTTGATCAGGGCTGGCCCGTGCGCGGCGCTGTGCAGCGCCAAGGAAATCGAAACGGCCTTGTTCCAGACAACTATCAAATTCGGCACGGCGCCGATCCTCAGGACGTAGCCGAACCGCCTGCCACCAGAGCGATCGAGGATGCGCGCGGGCCGACGCGGTGCATCCTCGAACGCGCAGGCCAGCGTTTGCGTTTCAGCTGCGGTCGCATGTCATTTTGCCCTGCATGTACAATTCTAGCAACTTCGCCATCGCCTCGAACGACCGCGCCGCAGCGTTCGCCATGCCGCTGGGACGCAGCTCTGTGTGCACCCAATGACGAATCAAAGGGAACACGGCCAAGCAATCCGACGCCTTGCCCACGAAGTGCGACGCCTTGCAGGTCGCTCTCTTCCGAGCCACGCTGAACAGAAACGCCGGCGGTTTCCTGCCGCGTCTGCCAGTCCGCCACGCCGAGCAGCGATCCCGCCACGTTCCCCGCGCGTCGGGGATGACACCCCTTCACCGCCTTGAGAAGCGCAAAGACTTCGACCTGCAAGGTCCCGCCGCTGGCCAGCATGGTATGCATGGGGTCCCTCACGTATGTGCTCGGCGGCGCCACCGTCCGCAACGCCTGGCACGCCACCAGAGAACGGTCATCCAGAGTGATGCCCATTGCCGTCTCCTTCGGGGGCCGGAACATCAGAAGGGAAGGAAGGGGGGGACATCAGAAGGGGATCGATGGACATGTTTTCCTCCCTGGCTCCAGTCTCTCGATGTTCGCTCTGGTTGTCGTGTCCCGCAGCGACGCCAAATCATCATATTGCTGCAAAAACTCGCCTGGCGACAGCGGGTCAAAGCGCGACGAGTCAGCGCGCCAGAGAGGCACGAGGTAATCATCGTCGTCGTAGTCTGCAAGACATTCCGCCTGATCCAGCACAACGTTCTTGCATTGCAAGCGCGGTCTCAGACCTGCAGCGCCCTTGGTGCAGAATGTCTCTTTTCCAGCCGCCTCGTCTGCAATCAAGCGGTGGAACTTGGCGAAAAAATGCACGCCGCCGATTGGCGCACCGTGCTCCGACAGACTCTCTGGCCCCAGGAACAGCGCGCGAAGCAATGCCCGCGCCACGGCCGAGCCGCCGATGCTCTTCTTCACGACGACGCGCAAGGTGCCGATCGGCAGCCACGCAACCTCCTTCTGCAAGAAGGATCCGAACTCGAGGAAACTCGCATACACCGCGAGCTGATTCCGACGATTATCTATCTTCAAGGCGTTGCCCACGCCAATGTCGTCGTAGTACAGCAAAAGCCTCCACGGCCGATCGCGCGACACAGGGAAACGGCGCATCGCTTCCCAAAACATTGAACTCCAGAGAGGGCAGTCCGACAGGGGCCTCGGCATCAGCCGATGCGGCAGCGCCACGCTCCATCGGAAAGGCGTGCCGATCTTGGGCTGCAGCCGCACTGCGCTGATGAGATCGGCCACGGATGCCGTCTGCGATCGCTGCATGGCCCGAGCGCTCACGTCTATAGCATCGCCCGCGTCGTCGCCATGGCCAAGCGCAGTCGCGATTCGCTCGAGCAAAGCCGCGGACACGCCGCGCAGGGCCAGACACTGTTGCAGTCGAGCCCGCTGCTCCACCTGCTTGTCCACCTGCAGGGCGCGTTTCCCCATTGCGCCGACGCCCGCGCGCGGGGGGGGCGGGGGCGGGGGGCAGCGCGAGGCCCAGTGCGGTTGAGAAAAACGAATTGCAGCCAGAGAGACGGAAGTGGAGGCGGGAATGGATCGCGGGGCGGAGTAGCCGCCGAAGGGCATGGCGGCGTAGCCGCCTGAAGGGTCGGGAGGGGCGGCGTAGCCGCCGAAGAGCGTGGGGGCGGGGGGCATGGGGGGAGGGGGGAGGGGTGGGGGAGATTGCGGAGGCGCGAAGTGAGCGTAGCAACGGAGCTTGCAAGGGAGATTTCTTTTTCTCGCACGCAGCCGTTTAGAGCCAAGCTCGGGTTTCAAGCTCGGAGACGGGCGCGGCTGGCGGCTCTTAGTGCGGGTGCGCGTGCTGCCTCCAACTCCTCATCCCCCTCCTCCTCCTCTCCTCATCCTCCCTCCTCTTCCTCCTCATCCTCCTCTATCGGCCCAGCTCCGATCGCCGCTCAGCTCTCCTGGTGCGGCTGGCGGCAGAAGTACCGAATACTGCCTGGGATGTCCTTCACCGTCTTCTTCGACATCTCAAGCATCATCTTGCCCTTCTCCTCGGTGCGGCGCGCCTCCTCCATCATCTGCCGCGCCTGGTCGATGAGCATCTGGCCCTTGACTCCAACGGCGCGTGCATGGCGGCAACGATTGCGCCACTCGATGAACCGCGCCACCATGGTCGCCCAGCTCCAAGCACTGCCATCCGTCGCGATGAGCTCGAAGTCATCGACGTCGTACTTGCCCGCGATGCTCGCCATAGCGGCGCAAGACCGCGAAGGGGGCACGACCTCGAGCGGCCCTCCTTGAGCCACAAAGACTACGGATGAGGGGTGGGACGGTGGCAGATCATGTCATTGGGAAACGCGAGAGAACGGTGCGAGCGCGATGGGCAGCAAAGGCGGCATCTCCGCCAAATGAAGGCAAGGCGGCATGTCCGCCAAGGGCTTGCGAGAGTGGAAAGGCGGCATCCCCGCCAAACGAAGGGCTGCGGTGGTAACGAGTGGGATGGCGATGACAACGAAGAAATGTTTTTTTCAACAACAATAACAATTGTACGAAATCACACACCTCGTCATGAGCGGCCCAACTGCCGCCCCTGCCAAGGAGCTGCTTCGCCTCTGCTTCGTCTCCGACCGCCAATCGATGGGATTCCCAACGGTGTCGCTGGCCTTCGCGAGCCACAGCTCGCGCGGTAGGATCTCGAGCAGGA